GTCTGGTTTTCCCTCTGGACTTGCCGGATGAGAGCTGCATGGTCTGCTTCTCCAGCAAGTTGCGGGGCTGGAGGCCTTTTACAGCCTGCATACCCCGGAGTCTGGGCGGGCAGCATGTGCCCACCTTCAGCTCCCTTAGAAACCGTGTGGGTTTCCTGTGAAGATGATTGGAGTCCAGTCACTTGGCAAAAATGAGAGTGCTTGCTGTTTTTGAGGTGTGACCTCCCCGTAGTCACCCACAGCCACGAGGGGCCCGTCAGCAAACGCAGGACTAGGGGCCTGGTCTCCAGGAGGAAGGCCCGGGAGGCAGGTGCCGAGCCCACCCGAGGGCGTGGCAAGGGGTCTTCCGTTCTACGGCTGTCGTGGACCCTGCGTGAGGCTCCTGCCTGAAGAGCGCGGCACCTCTGGCCTCTGCCCAGAGTCACCACGCCCAGAGCAGCCGTCTCTGGACACACGGCATGAGCAGGGCGCGGAGCATGCTGGGAAGGACTCCGGAGGAGCCGCAGACTGAAAAGTGTTTTTCAGGCCTCTCGTGCCCAAATGCCCTCAACCTAAAGGCGGCTTTGAAAGGGGGCCCTTGCGTGCTGTTGCCATGGAATGTGCCTTCCTCGTGCCCACCCCAGCTATCCCCAGGGCCCTCTCTTGCAGGGGGTGCTGCGAGGCGCAGTGACCTCACTGGCTCTCTGGGGGTGTGTGGCTGGTCCTTGAACCAGCATTTATCGAGCACCTGCTGTGACCCAGCCTCTGTTCCAGGCGCTGGGACCATAGTAGCCCCAAGCAAGTCAGTGTTGTTCTGCCTTCGTGACGGGGCAGTTAGATGGGAATGAGGAGACCACCCACCAAATAGCCCCCGGGTCACCCCGGCGTGGGTGCAGGTGGGCACTGGGAGCCCGCCGTCTAGGGGCAGAGAAAGGGAGGCCGAGGGCGCCGTGTCTCCTCCGCAGCTCTGCCCGATGACTGCAGAAAGGACACGTCAGTTCAAATAAACAAATAAATCTTGAGAAGTAGGACCTGTCATAGCCAGCTCGACACCATTAGTCACGACTCCCTCAAGGATCAGAGCGTGGACTTGGGTGTCCCTCCCCACCCCCTGGGCATCCTGGGGCAAGTCCCCTGAATCTGGGCCCCCAGCAAACCGCGTCTGACCAGGTCTGGCTTCGGGGAGTGACGAGCACCTTCCCTGGGGGTGGACGGCAGTGCTGAAGGCAGATGGCAGAGTGGCCCCCATTTCCAGCCGATAGCGTCTCCGGCCTCCCGCCCGCCCGCCTTCCGGTGTCTCCAGCCTGAGGCCGTCCTTGCTTTGAGTGTTCAGTTCCAGTCCAGACAGCTGACCAGTAGCAGTGCCCCCGGGGCAGCCTTCTCTTCCAGAAAGTCACAGTTTGCTCCTGCTGCTTCAGGGCAGGCTTGGGGAGGGCCTGCCCCTCTCTACCTCCAGAACCATCTCGAGCAAGAGCCAGAGCCGGTGCTGGGACAGGACGGCAGGGTCTCCCAACGGGTCGGCGTTCATCGTCCGGGACAGTGGCTGGTGCTTTCAGGAAGGGGTCCAGCCCCCGAGAGGCGCCCACACAGCCCAGGCGGCTTTGCTCCAGGCTGAGCCTCTGCCTCTGGGGGAGCGTGTGCTTTGATGTGTCTGAGGGCATATTTCTTGACCTTGCGAAATAGGCTTTCAAGCTTTTAGCTTTAAAGAGAGAAGAGTAATGCACACAGCAGACATCACCCCATCACCCTGCTCTCAGGCCAGCCACCGCCGAGATCCCCGTCTCAGCCTGGGCTGGCACCGCCTCTCCCCACCCCCAGGCCTCCCGTCCAGCACCAGCCCGGCACCTGAACTGAGGCTGCCCCGCCCGGACACCGAGCCTCAGCCCATTCCACCCCATCGCATCCGAAACCAAGCTCACAACCAGATGTTACTGCACATGCACCCCAGACATCGCAAAGTGCTCGAGGGCTCATTCATAGGTGCCTTTTGAGGCTAAAAAGAGCAAGAGTGACTCATTTGTCCAGAGTCAAACTGCTGCTTCCTGATGACACTGTTCCAAGCATCTCGTTTAATTGGAATCATACGTGAGCATGATGTGAGCATGGTGTTTTCAAGGCCCACCCATGTTGCAGCAGGTGTCAGAAAGTCTTTTCTTTTTATTTTTTTAAGATTTATTTTTATTTATTAAATAAGAACTGGGGTGTAGGCCAGAGGGGCAGGGTGGGAGGAGAGAGAGGATCCACCAGAGACAGAGTAGGGAGCAAAACAGGTGGATCTACTGAAATCCACTGCTGAGGGGAGCAGCGGGTGAGACAGGAGAGGTCTGCTGCGCCATGTGGGTAGCTCCTGGCTGGGGATCAAACTCAGGCCACAGTGGCTGGTGACAGCTTGATAGCACTGAGACTTTAACCCCTGCACCACCAGGGAGACCCAACTTCTTTTCTTTTTAAAGGCTAAATAATATTCCACTGTCCATATAGACCTTACATTGTCTATGCACTCATCTCTCCATGGGTTGTTTCTTCCTTCTGGCCTTTGTGAATAAGTAAATTTTCTTGTGTTGTTGGCTAATATTTCATGTAAATGCACCACAGTGGTGTCCGTTCTCTTCTTGATGGACATTGGGATGCTGCCGGTGTTTGAATTTAATGAGTAAGGTGGCTGTGAACATTCTTACACAATCGCCTTGTGAACGGAGGCTTTGATTTGTTCCTTATTGTATGTGGTATAATTGCTACATAATAGGGTTGATTTATGTTGAACCAAACTAGAAACTTCTAAACAATTTGCCAGCCTCATTGTACCGTTTTGCCTGCTGCCAGCAACTGGTGGGAATTCCAGCAGCTTCACGTTGTGGCCTCCACTTCCTTTTATCTGTCTGCTTGACTGTAGTGTTCCGATCATGGTTACTTGATTTTTTTATCTCCTCGATAATTAAAGATGTCGCATACCTCTTCCTGTGCTCATGGTCCGTGTCCCCGTCAATGAAGTGACAGTCCCACTTGTGAGCTCATTTTAAAAAACTGGATTTTTCATCTTTCACTTGTTGATTTCTTTCTTTACTGTAGATGCCAGTCCTTTGTCGGTGATCTGCGAAGTGAATACTTCTCCCCAGTCTAGGGCTTGTCTATCCATTTTCTTAAATGGCATCTTTCAAAAAGCAGAAAATTTTAATTTCAATGGAGCCTAACTTAGCATTTTTTTTTTTTAATGGCCAGTGTTTTTTGTGTGTCTCTTCCAATAACTCCTGGCTTCCTTAAAGTTGTGAAAATATTCTGTATTCTAGAAGTTTGAAGGCTCTAGGATTTAGATAACAGTTTTTGGTCTTAGGTTTGATCTTACATTTCAGAATATGATGAGGTTTTTCTTGAGTCCCTCTTAGCCCCTTGCAGATGGCTCCCTTCTCTGAGCCTGCTTTCAACTCCACCCTTGTTATCTCTACAATATCAATGTCAGGATGTTCTGGCCTTCTACTGCCAGCCCCAACACACTTGCATGCACTAACATGCATGCACTAACACACACGCCACATGCATAGGTATACGCAGTGATGCATACGCATCTACACACACACTAACACTACCAACACAATACACGTGTAACACTCACACACCACATGCAAAGATGACTCAGTTTATAGGCAGAGGATGGGCGCCCATTTCAGAGGCTCCTGCTGGCCCCAGACAATGCAGTGGATGAGAAGATGTGACATGCATTGAAATAGGGAGATTTATAGTGAAAATTAGTGGAAATACTAATTATCTCCATAAGATAAGAGTAGGGAACCAATTTGCTATTTTGAAAACTAGGGCATGAAAAAGACAGAGCAAGCATTTCATTCTGTCTTTTCCGTAAGAACCAGCTCTGGGTAACCAGGGAGCAGGCGAGGAAGCTGCCGGCACAGCTGCTGATGAGGCTACACGCTCCAGCGAGAAATCACCGGCCGCAGCACCTGGTGACGTAATGGCCCTGCATCCCGAGCAGGAATAGCTGCCGACCTGGCAGAAAAGAGCCGATCAGTCATCCTGTGCTTCCTGGTGGCAATCCACAAACACCACCTGTGAAGACAAAATTGTGCCAAAAGAGCAAAAAGCAAACCCCATCCGGCTTCACATCAGGAGTCCAGCAGGTTTTCTGTAAAGGGCCAAGTGGGGCTGCTCTGGGCTCGGTGGACGGTCACGCAAGTTGGACAGTCCTCCCCTTGCAGACAGCGGCGGCGACCCTGCCTACCACAGGCCGCGGCGGCCGGGCCCACAGGTGTGTCTCTTGGCTTTTGCACTGGATCCAACTGTGAATTCACAGGAAATTCAGAAAACAGAAAAATGTTGCAATCAGCCAAATCCACGCGGTGGGGACATGTAGAGGAAAATATATCAATTTCTTCAACAAAGAAATTGCAGGAGAGAAAGAGGCATATAAACTAAAAGACTGAAAAGTAAAACCCCCCGATCTGTAGATCTTATCACACACGCAAATTGTTAAAATAATCGGGGACGTTTATGAGACAACTGCATGGTGTTTGCTGTAGTAGGAAATATGCTGCTTTTTAGCAGGAAATAGTATTATGGCTGCACTTAAAAATATATGAGCTACAAATTCTTATCTTTAAGTAAGCACTTCCCCTGGAGGCACTTTGTCTGTCCCTCCAAGGCTGCATTTGCTCAGAACAGCCCAGGCGCCCGCCCCGTGCCAAGCCCCCGCCTCCCGACACTGCCTCCCGTGGCCCTTCCACGCAGCTGGCCCCCGCGCCGCCCCCGCTGGAGAACCCCCCACCCCGCCCTCCTCCAGGCTCTGGGGCTGGGTGGCCTTTTGCAGGTTCCCATCAGACTGCACCCAGCAGCGTTCGCGGCCCAGCACGCGCCCTCCAGCTGCATCTCCCTCCTCGTTCCCTCCCCGATGCCCGTTCTTCCCCGACAATCAGTAGAGTGTCCCGAGTCCCCTGGGTGATAAGTTGGGGGTGGCAAAGCCCCAAGCCCAGGACTCTAGCAACCCACGGTCTCTTATTCTGTGATTTCCACAGTCAGGACATTCGAAGGAAGCCGCCGGTCTCCGGGATGCTCGGGCCCTGGCAGCTGCGGTGGCGTTGGGTGTGCGGCCTCCGAGGGCGGCTCAGAGGGCCGAGATGAGAGACCGCGTGAGAGGACCCCCGTGGAAAGGTTCCAGGCTGTGTTGACTGCCCCCCACGACCTCACCCTCCGCGAAGTCCCGTCGGGGACACCCCCCGCCCAACACCCTTCCTCCTCCTCCTGCTCCCGCCTCTGCTTCCCGCCCTTCCCCTTCCTTGTCTGTGTCCTCTGCATGCACCCCTGGGCCCTCCTCAGCTCCCCTCTCTCCCCGAGGCCTTCCCCACCCTCTGTGGGGGGCGTCTCCATTCCCCCTCGCCTGCCTGAGCAAACCAAACCACTGGCCTTCCCTGCTGGCCCGGCTCCTATCCGCTCCTTGTCGTTATTCGGGGGCCACGAGGACAGTGGCCAGTCGAACCCCACAGCCAGGGCGCCTGGAGCGGGTGCCTGCGGAGAGACCCACGCAGCCCCCTGCACGTCGGCAGCAGACCCTCCCTGCCAGCCACGACGCGGGGACAAGCCCCAGGACGAGGACCCAGAGCCGCAGCGGAGCCCCGGGTGTCCCCTGCGGGAGGAGGAGAGCAGCCAGGGGACCCCGAGGAGGAGGCTGGGCGGGAGCCTCAGGGGCCGGCGCCTCGGGACGTGCCCGCCGCAGCACACGACGGAAGCAGAGTCGCCGAGGGCCGAGTGAGGAGCCCCCTGGCTCTCTGCGAGCTGCCGCCCTGCAAGGTGAGGGGGACGGCGTGTCCGGCCTCCCGCGCCCGCGGCCGCCTCCTGCTCTGCTGGGCCCCGCGGCGTGCTCCGTGCCGCTGTGCGGAGCCCGGGCCTCTCCGGAAGCCTGGGGTGTTAGCAGGGGACGTGGCGTCGGTCTCTCCCCTCCTGGGCGGATGCTGTGCGGCTGCACGGGCGTTTTCACGGCCGCGCGGTGGGGCGTCAAGGCAGCACGCGGGCTGCACAGACCCGCTTCCCCGTGTGTGGTTTCCGGGCCGCTGCTGGGTTTATGCTGCTTTAAATGATGTTGTGATAAACCTTTCCCCCCTCCTTGCTCTCTTAAAAGTTATTGCCTAATTACAAATACCCAAGAGGAGGGTTGCAGAAGCCCAAGACATTTAAATGTTTCCGGCTGTTAAAAGAGAGCGCAGAGCCGCTCGTCCAGCTCTCCCCGCGTTGTGCAATAGCAGCCCCGGCCCGACCGGGCCACTTTCGTCTGCGTCCCGAGGGCGCTGGTCCTGCCTGGCTCTTGTTAGAGGTCAGATCTTTTCCATGACTGCATTTACCTTTTCATTCCGTCTTTTCCTTGTGGATGAAGTATCAGGAAACCTGCGCTTCATTGTGGCTTTCGGAGTATGGTAAGATGCATGTTATGGCTGATTTTGTTGCTCAGGTGTTCTGCACTCTCCACCTGAGCATTAGCATTTATTCCGTGAGCCATGGCATGTGCGCGCTCGTGTGCGTGTTCCATGGACGTGAGCCCTGGGGCATGCGTGTGCTTGCCTGTGTGTGCTCCGTGGGTGTGTGCACATGTGTCTTTTCTCTCTGCTACAAGTCTGGTGTGTCAGGTCTGCAGCGGGGCTGGAGCATCAATCGATGGTCACAAGCCCAGCAGGTGCCCCGGCCGAGCCCACTACCCGCATGCGTGCGCGTCTGTGTGAGTCCAGGCCCGGCAGCGCCGGCCGCTTTACAAGGGCGATGTCAAACCATGGATGCACTTGATAATATTTTTTCGTGAGTTATTTGCTCTCATAAAAGAAGTGTCAAGAAGACAGCGTGGACTCACTGTTCTCTACCATCTAATGTCAGTAGAAGCTACTGTGTGAGAGTATTTTCTGCACACCAGGCTCTGTGTGAAAGACTCTGTAGGAATCACTGAATTTCACCTTCAGCAAAGTCCTGGGTGCTGCTGCTGCTTTAAAGACGAAGAACTGGAGATCAGGGAGGATACGTGACTAGCGCAAGTTCACAAGCAAATCAAGAACGTGGATGCTGGATTCTAAAACCAGCTGTCTCGACAGCAGCCCTGAGCTGCACACTCCCTAGGTGACAGTGACTCTAGGGAGGGGCGGGTCTGAGGGGTACCACCAGAGGCCATGTTCAGCCCAGCACACAGGAAGGCTAGGGAGTGGGTGGGCATAAGGAGGGGCTTAAAATGAGAGTGAGAGTCTGGGTCCTGGGAGTGCAGCGATGGTGCCAGGCCAGGGAGGCAGGAAGCAGGAGGGAGACCTGGTGGTACAGATACTGCGGGTGAGAGCTTCCAGAACTGCAAACCCGGCTGGCCACGGAGGTCGACCAGCAGGCAGACACCAGGCTCAGCATATAGATGCTTAGATCGTCCAGCAGAGACATGGACTATACCTAAAGGCTATAAGGTCGACCAGTAGGCTTGCCCCAGGCTGAACTAGAGGCTACCAAGGTTAAACAGCAGGCCAGCTGCTGGTCAAGGTCAGAAGACTAAAGGCTGAGATGGGCCAGCCTACTGGTCTACCACCACATCTAACAGGGTGACCCAGAAAGGGGCCTCCTGGTTGACCTGGGCAGCCTGCAGCCTGATTCCAGGGCCCGCCTACTGGTATATGACCCTGTCTGAAGCCTGTCCCTGGGGCTTTGAGCCCATTGAGCACCAACTCCGAAATTGAACTGACACCTTTCTCTGTTTGGTTTGGGAACTTCTAGTTCGATTAGTGTCCATGACCCGCTGTATGTTCAATTGGGGGCACTCTATTGAACCTGTGACCTCCCCAGCCTGCAGGCTGAGCCCAGGACCAGCCTGCTGCTCCATCTCCAAAGCCTCCAAGCTGAATGCGGGGTCGGTCTGCTGGCCCCCAACCCCATCTGTAGCCTCTCCTGGGGGCTTCAAGTTCATTGGGCTCCAAGTCCCACGTGAACTGGCACCGTGCTGATGTTTGTTTTGGGAACTTCTACTCAGTTATGATCCATGACCTGCCTGCTGCTCAATTGGGAGAACATGCTTGAAACTGTGGCCAGCCTGCTGGTCGACCTCCCCAGGCTGCAGGCTCTGTGGGGCTGCACTGCCTTTCGAATTCCCCCAGCTGCAGCCGGACTGGACCTGTTGCTGTTCCACTTGCCCAGGCTGCATGCGACTGGAGACTGCCTGCTGGTCGAACTCAGCATCCAGGCTGAATCTGCGTGGCCTGAACTTCGACTCCCCAGCTGGTCCATCTCGGCAGCCTCTGAGCTGAATGTGGGGTCGGTCTGCTGGTGCACGACCCTGTCTGCAGCCTGTCCTTGGAGCATTGAGTTCACTGGATTTCAAGACCCGTATTGAATTGGCACCGTCCTACTGCTTGTTTTGGAAACTTCTAGCTCAGTTAGGATCCATGACCCGCCGCTTGTTGAATTCGGGGCTGCTATATTGAACCTGGGGCTGACCTGCCAGTTGTATTCCCCACCCTCCAAGCTTGGCCCTGGGCTGTCTGCAGGTCGACCCATCAGCCTCCAGGCTGGGCTGGTGCTGGCCTGAGGTTGACACCCTCAGCCTCCAGGCTGGGCTGGGGGCGGCCTGCAGGTTGAACGCCTCAACCTCTGGCTGGCCTGGGGCCGGCCTGCAGGTTGACCCACTCAGCCCACAGGCTGGTCTTGGGGCAGCAGCTGCTTGATGGCCTGAACCTCATGCTGGGCTGGATCGCCCTGCCTCTCGACTCCGGAGCCTCATGCCTATGCTGGGCAGGGCTGCCAGTACAAAATCTCAGCCTCCAGTCTGGGCTGGGGCCAATCTACTGGTTGACGCCCTCAGGCACCAGTCTGAGCTGGGGCCAGACTGCAGGTCGACCTCCACATCCTCCAGCCTGAGCCAGAGCCTGCCTGCAGGTCAACCCCCTCAGTCTCCAGGATGGGCTGGTGCTGTCCTGCAGGTCGAACCCCTCAGCCTCCAGACTGGGCTGGGGCCGGCCTGCAGGTTGACCCCCTCAGACTCCTGGCTGGGTTGGGGCCAGTTTGCGGGTAGACTCCCTCAGTCTGCAGAATGGGCTGGCACCAACTCGTAAGCCTCCAGTCTGGGCTGGGGCCAGCCTGCTTAGTCTCAGGGCTGGGCTGGGGCTGGCCTGCTGGTCCCGTAGGCCTCTAAGTTGAGCTGTGGCTTGCCTGCAGGTAGACCCCCTCAGCCTCCAGGTTGGGCTGGTGCCAGCCTGCAGCTTGACTCCCTCAGCCTTGAGGCTGTGCTGGGTCAAGCCTTCAGGTCCACCCCCTCAGCCTGCAGGCTGGGCTGGCATCGGCCTGCAGGTTTACCCTCTCAGCCTCCAGCCTGGGCCAAGTCCAGCCTGCAGGTTGACCCCAACCTGGTCTGGGGCCGGCCTGCTCATTGACCCCCTCACTCTCCCAGCTGAGCTGGATCAACCCCCTCACCCTCCGGGCTCGGGCCAGCCTGCAGGTTGATGCCCTCAGCCTCCAGCCTGGGCCAGGGCCACCAGCAGTTCGACCCCCTCAGCCTCTGGGCTGGGCTAGGGCCAGCCTCCAGGACTACAGGTCCAGCCTCCAGGCCTACAGATCAACGCCATCAGACTCCAGGCTGGGCCTGGGCCAGCTTGCAGGTCGATCCTTCACCCTCTGGACTGTGCTGGGCCTGGCTTGCAGGTCGACCCTGTCAGACTCCAGGAAGGGCCGGGGCCGGACTGCAGGTCGACCCCCTCATTCTCCAACCTGGTCTGAGTCTGCCCTGCAGGTTGACCCCCTCAACCTCCAGGCTCGACTGTTGCTGGCCTCCTGGTCAACCCCCTCACCCCTCTGGCTGGGCTGGGCCAGTCCTGCATGTGGATCCCTGCACCCTCTGGGCTGGGCTGTGGCTGGCCTGCAGGTCGACCCCGTCAGCCTATGGACTGGGCTGGGGCCAGCTTGCAGGTCGAACCCTTCACCCTCCAGCCTGGGTTGGGGCCAGCCTGCAGGTCCTCTCCCCCTCAGCCTCCAGAGAGGGCCAGTGCAGGCCTGCAGGTTAACACGCTCATCCTCCAGCCGGGGCCGTGACCAGTGTGCAGATTGACCCCCTCACCCTCCAGGCTGGACCAGGCCCAGCCTGCAGGCCGACCTGTATGCCTCCAGGCTGGACTAGGGGTGGGGGGGCAGGCAGGTCAACCCCCTCAGCCTCCAGCCTGTGCCGGGGCCGGCCTGCAGGTAGACCCCCTCACACTCCAGACTGGGCTGGGGCAGGCCTGCATGTCAGCCCCTTAAGCTCCAAGTTGGGCTCGTGCCTTACTGCAGGTCAATCTGTCAGCCTCCAGGATGGCTGGGGTTGGCCTGCATTTCGACCCCGTCAGCCTCCAGCCTGGTGTGGGACCCACTGTGAGGTTGACCCCCTCACCCTCCAGGCTGGTCTTGGGCCATCCTGCAGTTTGACCCCCTCAGCCTCCAGGATGGCTGGGCATGGCATGCAGGTCCACCCCATCATACTCCAGGCTGGGCAGGGGCTGGCCTGCAGGTTGACCAGTGTGCCTCCAGGCTGGGCTAGGGACGGTCTGCAAGTCTACCCTCTCAGCATCTGTGCGGGGCTAGGGCTGGCCTGCAGGTTGACTCCCTCACCCTCCCCGCTAGGCTGTGGCCAACCTGCAGTCAACACCCAGAGCCTCCAGCTGGGCTGGGGTCGGCCTGCATGTCAAACACGTCAGCATCCAGGCTGGGCTGGGTCCAGTTTCAAGTTGACACTCTCAGTCTCTAGGCTTGACTAGGACCAGCCTGCAGGTTGAC